TTTATATATATAGATGAATATATATATATATCTCTATATATAAAAAATATAAATTCATATATATAGGCTTCCAATTATATAATTATATATTTTTATGCATTTATATTTATTTTTATAGAATTTTATAGATATTTTTTTTTATTTATAGATATATATTCAAAAAGAATAATTAAGGCTAAGATTTTATATAAATAGAATAGTGCTGCCGATATTGAAGTATATAATAAAATAGATAATAATTTAGAACTAATTCTTCATAATTGGCACGAAAATATCTCTATATATAAATTCCCTACGCGCAAAAGGCTCAACTCTTGAAATACATATTTTTTGCCAATTTAATTTTATAATTTATATTTCATATTATTCTTATATTACTCTTGCCGATATCTATATAGGATGAATTATCTAACTAAATTTTATAGATTTAGAATAGATATCTATTCGAATTATGATAATTCCTTATTCAATATTCATTATTCAAATTTCTCCTGTAAAATTATATTATTAATTAATAGTATTCCTAATAAAATATAGATCAATATTTTATAAAAATCGATAAATATTTCTAATTCACTAAATCATCCTTGAAATCTCAAATATTTTCAATTTCATCAAATTCTAATTATAATATAGAAATTAGAGTGACTAATTCAGAAATTATATAATCTTTATTTTGAAATATTATTTTCGAATGGCTCGCGCAATCGATTCTTCATTTAATTTCTTCATTATTCTGCATAAAGTTATATCTAGATCTAGGTTTTTACGATATTCTTTTCGACGCATCGAATGAGAATTTCGATACCCCAGAGAAACTTGGGGAGTCTTCTCCATATTACTCCACGATATTGTTTCGAATCGCTTTCCCCCGTTTTCGCACGACACTCCCTGCGACCTATATGCCGTCGCCCACTACTCATGCCCCCAGATTCTCGTCTGCCATTCCACGGCACTCCCCGTATTCTAAATACTCTCGTCCGCCTCTTTGCGATGCGCCTTGCAAATCGCTGTTGCCGCCACTTCCTATGCCCCTCCGAGATCTCCAGAATACAAGCGCCCTTACTACAATTTCGCGATACTCCTGTCGATCCCTCCTCAGCCGCACTCTACGACAGTCGTGGGAAGCCCTCGCCCGTCATTCCGCGACATTCACTTCGGTTCACCTCAGATGTCCGCCACGCCGCGACACTCTTCTCAAACTCACATGACACTCCCCCCGACAGACATGCCCTCGCCCTACTCCGCGATATTTCCCTCCGACGCATTCTCGCCCGACGCTGCGTAATGAAGTGAAGACTAGAATATGGACTAATACTCAGTATTTAAGAAATAAGAGATGCTTTAATCAGACATATTTCTTTAAGATAAGCAAACAAAAATATAAAAACATTATAAATGAAATACAATATGCAGAAAAACTGCCAATAATACTGTATATTGCTGTGTATAAAATACGAAAAGAACAATTAGAGACTCTAAATCGTTGTAAATCATAAGATATTGGAAAGTGCTGCATCCTGCCTGCCAATGCATCGATAATTTTTGGATAAATACTAGAATAAGACAATAATGAGCCCATCGCCACGATTGCAATAAGATACTGCTTAAACTTTTCAGGCGGCCTCCTGGATGCCATAGTGGCGTTGCTACTCACGTCCTGAGTGTCTCGGATACATCGCGCAAGACTTGAATTTCGCACTCTGATTGGAAGGCTAGCTTATTCAGGCAGACAATATGTTCAGCACTGTCGCTAGCGGCCGAGGAACCAGAACAACGTCGACATAGCTGCACCGAAGGCCTGTATCACGCCTGAGCCGCGTTCTGTCAAGGCTTGCGCTGCTTGTTTTCCACAGAACGGTAGGAAATTCAATAGTTTTCATGCCCACTATCACCGCTGTCGTTGTTGCCCTACCCGGCTTCAACGTGTGAACCATGTTCAAACGACTTCGCATCTTTGTCCCAACAGTGCCCAGTACCCGCAGCAACCTGCACCCGTGCCACAAGTCGCAGAATACCCGACATTTCCGCCAAAGCGCTCATCGGATATCTGAAATCCAGACCGAAGTTTGTCGGCCCAAGCTTGCCATACCTCAGATGCTCTGTCAGCGATGCCCCATGATCACAAAACTGACCTGAAGCTCGGGCTTTTGGCTTCTTGCCACCGAGCCACTGGCAAATGACGTGCTGCGGCTTTTGACGCAATGCTAATTGAAAATTCTTGGCCTGGACTGGCAGCTCTTCGACAGCAAACGCATGACTCTCTTGTGCCATGCGTGTGTGCATGCTTTTGCAGAACTGAACCGGCAGCTGCACCAGGATTCTTTGTCTGCCGCATGGACGACAAGGTCTAGACATCGCATTCGGGGACACGTTTCGATCCCCTTGGTCAGGAGCTTGCCTCGACAAGTAAATCTTGAAAATGCAGCCTCACATTGCAGGGTGCCATGAACTTCACCGCACATACAGCTTAGGTTGCCGACTGCCTCCGACATGGCGTCGCCTGGACAAACCAAGAGTTTTTCTCAGAATTGTAAACGATGTTTGATTCAGTGGCAACCGCGGCGTCACCTGCTGAGTCCACCAGACTTGGACAATCATTCAGCAGCTCCTCCAGCAGCTGTGCTGCTTCTTCGTCGTCCTGCAGAATTTCAGGTCCCCCAAGTTTAGTACTGTAACTGCGGGAAGAAGGTGAAGGTGACGCTGGACGGAATCAGCTGCAACCATCACTGGTTAAAACTTGGCACGAGATGGCCCTTTTTCAAACTATCTCGCAAAGCCGACTCCGTCCACATGGAACTGTCAGGTGTCATCCGAAGCCAAAGGCAATGCTATACTATAAGTTCACAATCGGACATGAGCCAGGGTCCTGAAGCCCTTTAAGCTGGTGAGCTATGCGCATGGCCAGGCCGACGAGGTCTTCACCATCGGAGGCTGTCGAGGTCAGGTCTGCCAAATCCCGGTGGCCTGTCGTTTCAAAACCGTCAGGGACTGGCTGCCCACAGGAGTGCACGATTTTTTCCACGGGGTGTCTACATCATGCCTTGCGGCCTTGCGAAGGAAGCAGTTGAATTGAACGAAGCATGTCACAGAAAACTCAGTCGAAAGGCGCAGTTCGCAACATGGCGCGTTTTCCTGCACCAGAAAACCTGTCGAATCTTTGTGTGCCATCAATCTTGCCTCGGCCGGTGGAATTTCCTGGTAAAGTGCTGAGCTCAGCTTCCTCCAGAACTTGCTTTGCTGGCCGGAAGCCCTGACCACAAGACGCGATTGCAAATCTCCTACGGAGCGTTCCAGGAATGGTCATCCCAATCTGCCTGATCTGCGCTGAGCTGCAGCCAATGGTGCGCTGCTTCAACGTCGCCGCCACTGGACAGCCTGCAAGCCGCGCAGTACTGCGACCTTGGTTCTTAACTGTCAACTGTTTTTGGGACGGCTGCTTTCAATTCAGCACTATCTGTCTCTCTGACCATGTTGGAGGGCCTCGACTCTCCAAGATGTAAAGGGTTCGAACATGGCCTGCAACCCTGCAGAACCAACATTGTGTACAAAGCCGCTCCTTTCAATGGAGACTGCTGCAACCTGGCTTTCTTGGCAGGCTTATTTGCGACATACACATCTAGTGTCAGCGATGACGACAACGAACAGTGACGAACTGCAATCACAGACTCGTTAAGACAAGCCGCACTGCATTTCCTTTTTCTGCGGCTGCCAAATGCCACGTCAAAGCAGCTGCCGGATCTTGTTCAACTCCATCGGCGCCATCTTCCAACAGCAGCGCCAGCGCCTCGAATGTTCCATGTATCCATCACCACCAGGTTTCAAGCCGTGTTGCGCAATTTTGGACTGCATGAAATTCCATGAACCCCAAATACTTTGTCTTCAGCTTTTTCCAGAAGTCTCGCTCCACGCATTTATGAGTGGCAACAAGCTCAGCAAGGACGACACCAACAAACGCAGACAAACCACGTGCAGAGAATGCACCTGCTTTGCACTCTATATACATACCTCGATATCGTCCTTAAGTATCCACAGACACCAAAACTGGAACATGCGTCGAGGTACACTTTGCGCCTCTGCATTTCCGCTCTGTGCGGCCAAGGTGTACCAATGCAAGGCCTCTCTTGCATCGTTGGGCTTTTGGCCGTTCAAGCCGGACCTGTGAAGGAAGGGCAGGATGGTTGACTGCAAACTGCACTAGAAGATCCGAAGACTGGTCCTGGTCCCATCTGGTTTCTCAGAACACACAACACAAAATGGCCGTCTCCCACCCTGGGAACCCACAAGGCGAACTACAAAGAAGTAATCAACCCCGTGATGAGGGGGCACGGGCACTTTAACCTAGTGGCTTGTCACATCTTAAAGCCCTACGTCACGGATGCTATCGCTGACTGGCCGTCCAGGGACACACCCAGACATCAGCAAATGGGCGGCAAGATGCGGCAAGCTATTGGTACGTGCAGTACAATTACCTGAAGCTAGACTGGACCGTCGCAATTGTTTGATCTTGTGTTGATTCTAACCAGTCAGAGGCTCCGTATAATTAGGAGTAAGCCTGGTCCGAAAGAGGCTCTGCTCGCTGGGGACGGTTGGAATGATGGGAGTTCAGACGTGTAGGGAGGGCCAGTCCTGCTAGTGGAGTAGAGCCCTGTCACAAAGGCAGGCACGCTGAAAACAAACCAGGCACGGAATACTTCCATTTTAAATTGTTGCGTCATCGGGGGAGTGCCTTCCTTGAAGGCGATCGGCAAGACCGGGTCGAAGAACTATCGAATAATTACTTTAGAATCCCAGCCGATTCAGTAGTTGAACATTACAGGACTAAGACCTGTTTGGCAAGCAGCTCGAGAAGCTCTCCAAGCCGCCACTGTGCGACAGTGTGTCCCTTCTCAGCTGCGAGCCTGTACCTGACACTGGGAGCGCCCCAGAATTTCCAGAAATCCAGACATAGGGTTCTCAATGACGAGCTCTGTGAGCACAGGCGCAGATTCAGTCTAAGTCCAAGGATCAACCTCGCAGCAACCTCGAGATTCATCTCGCAGCCATACAATCCGCGCTCGTAGCAGTGGCCGTTGCAGAAGAAAGCGTCGGCATCTTGCACACTAGACAAACTTGCAAATGGGTGGAGCGGCAAAGAGTCACAGCCAGCCTTTCGAATCTTCGATTTGCCTCAGAATCATGCGAATGGAAACCGGAATCTACGAGATGAGCAAAAAACACGTCAGGACGACAAATGGCCATGTTGGACAGATTCTGCATCCAAAGAGCTTCGGCTGCGGCTGCGATGCCTGCCGGGCGGAGTCTTCGGGAATGCATTGCTCCTCGTGCCAACCAGAGGATGTTGCAGCACTAACACAGGCTGCAGGTCTGCTCCTCGGAAGTGTCTGTGACAGCCGTACTCCTCCGTGCAAGCACAGCTTGTTTTTCGCTGTTTGCGCTTCTGGGGCGGGGCATGCGGGGCTTTCCTGTCTTCTTTCCGGCTTTGCTCCTGCGCAAACGCATCGAGAGAATACAGCGCCGAGCTGGCCTGGCCTGGCCTGGCCTTCGCCAGCTGCTTGTCACGCAACTTGCGGAGTGCTGCAACTTTCCTGGGACAGAGGGGCTTTTAAGAACACAAGGCAGACAAGCCATCAATAATCCTGCCGAGAATCTCCTCAAAAGACGCAGCCATTTTGGCCAGCACCCAGAGGAAGAGAAAGGGACAGCCGAATGAAAGGTGTGTGACTAACTTGTCATGCTGTGGTGGAGGCTTGCGGCATGCTGCAGCTAAAATGATGGCTCTACGAAGCTTCAGACATAAATCTCCAGGTCTGGTCTTTCCACAGCTGCGCGTATTCAGAACCGTATTCATTGTCGAGCCAAGGGATGTCAAGGGTTGCTTTATGCTGGTTCTGTCGCGCACGATGACCGCTTGGCCCCCGAGCCGAGGAGACGATGTTGCCTTACAAGGCCCAGGAAAGTCCGAAACAACAAGCGCAAGGTTTGTACAAATCACTCGCTGAGCCGCGAACGACCCTTGAAATCCAAGACCAAGCTTTGCACCTAACTGCATCATGCTGAAAGACAACAACATGCGTAACAATGTCCATATATTCGTCTGCACGGTGCTGCCGCCCAAGTGTTTGCGCCTAGAGCGCATTTGGAAAGGATGCGGGCCTTCTCATTCCACACCGGTTTCCGGGTAATGAGCTGCTGCATCTCATTGCTGAGTTCAGCCTGCACACGGCGCAAGGTGGAGATTCGGCGTGTGCCAATCCATGAGCAGTCTCGCTTCAGCCAAGTCAGGCATGCCCAGCATCGGGCACCAAATCACCTGAAAGCGACGCATGGGAATCTCGAAGATGCCGGGCATTTATCGTCGTTTCAGCCGCGCGCGCTCGTATCATTTTGATAAAGGCCCGGTATCCGCACCTAGTCACCAAACGGTGTACTGGCGCGTCTGCAGCATGCCCCACAACAAAGGTCGAATCATTACCAGGCATTGCCGACCATGGCTTTCATCTCGCGCCTCCATAATGTTTGAAATGCCTTCTCCGACAGAAGCTTGGCGATGCTTGATGACAGCCACCTGCTGCAGGACCCTCGACAAGTCTACAGAGCGCTTGGCTCCTCTAGCGTCCAACTATCTGCCACAAGTTGGGTGGCACGCAATCAAGAGAAGAAACTTCCTGCCTGCTGCTTGCCGTGAGTTGCACAGGAGAGGTGGGGTGGCACATACTGACATGCCTGGCACCTTTGCAACAACAGGTTGTGTCAACACTATGCAAATTGATTTTGCGCAATCGCAATATGGCAGCATGATGCGGCAATACGAAGCCCGGTCGGTACATGCTGAAAGCTAGTGAACCATTACAACGCACCAGCATGGTCCCCACAGGTCAGGTGTTCAAAAGTAATAGCCTGAATCGACTCCGGTGGAGAGCTAGACAAACGCAGGAAAACTCGAGTAGAACTCTGCTGGCACGCCCCAAGCTTCAAAAGTACAAGGACTGACATAAGTCCAACAGGTTCTCGATGCATTGTATACTCCGAACGTAGAGGGACCGGGTGGCAGCACTGGTCAACAAAGAGCAGCAAGAGTCACAGCTTTGCGAATGCCGGCTTCTGCCAGTAGCACTTCTCATTTCTAGTTTCGTCGAGAAGCTCGGGCAGATTAGCCGGACCCGGGAGAGCTTGGCTTGACTGACTGCAAAAGCTCCAGCCGGTAAGGCTTGTGCCGCTCTGCGACTAGTCTCCACTCATCTCTGGACGAGTTAAAACCTAGGCGATGATGCCAGAAGGCAAGGCTGAAATTGCTACCGCATGCCAAACGAGCCACTATCTTCGCATGCTCAAGCAACGCCTTTTGTGTTTCTGTTGCTGGGCATTCCAAACTCTGAGTGGCCCACCCATCGTAAATGCAGGCCTTCGCTCACACAAACAGTCAAGATCAGTCGAGCAAAGAAGACTTCGTCTGAAGACCGCGCTTTGCCGGATTGAAAAGATCCTTCTGACCTCGCAGAGGTGCATCCTGCTGTAGGCAGCTCTCGGTACACTGCCTGCCAAGGTCGAGGCTGGGATCGTAGAGGTGGAAGTCCACGCGAGATGCCTACGACTGCCAGTCAATGTGCGCTTGCAAAGAGTGCAGCAAAAGTTTCTGCCGTCCTCCAAGCGAACACTGGCGTGCATCAGAAAATCACCTTCGCAGGAAGTGTTGTAGATAGATTCGACAGCACATACTGACATCTATAGCACATCAGTGGGGTGTATCTCTGGAACTTGATTTCCGTTTTACATGTTTTCTCTTTCTTTCTTTCGCCAGGGCGAGGGACAAGAGGGTTGGCCCCCTTGCCCATGTTTTCTCTCTCTCTCTCTCTCTGCCGTGCCATCATCAAGAGTCTCGTTATGCAAGGGCACGAAAAGCACAGGCTAGAATATCAGGAGGCATAGCGCGAACGCTGAACCTCCGTTTCGTCGAGCCCACTGAACTCATGTTTTGCAACCTGCTAATGTGCAGGTATCATTGCAAGCTTGTCTTCGAACTATCGCGTTACGTTCTGCCAACCCGCAACACAACACAGCTCTCCGGAAGAAAGATTTTCAGCCGTTTGTACTGCACGCGTTGCACGATCCCAACCAGTCAACCCAAGGTTACAAGACTCCGAGCTCCCTCCAAGAGGTCTGCAAGGTGGCCTAGGCTTACATACCATTCCCCCACGGCTCTAACTCCACAGTGGATTCTGGAGGCCTGCATCAGTGATAAGGCGTGCCGACAGTTTGTCCTCGGAGCGGACAACCTCGGTTTCAGATCATCAGTCAGGGAGAAGGCCTTCGTTCACATTGGAATCTGAGGGCAGAGCTCGAAATCGCCACAGCCTCGCACCATGAAGCTGTGACATGACAGTGAGCCATTCAGCAGAGGCAAGATGACGCAAGTGCTGCAACAAGCGCCAAGCTTGCTGGATCTCCGCCTGTTGCTGCAGCTGGCATTCTGTCATCGCTGATATTGGTTTGCTCTCTTCTCAACCAAGAGGCAGAGGCACGACAAAATCGCTTGTGATTTCGTGGGCATGGCCCTCCTCCTGGAAATGCCAGTTCCGTCTTCTCCACACCCGCTCTCACCGTGTCTTTGCGGTCAGCGGCTCCATGGTTTCAATCAGGTCCAGGCTGTGGTCTTTCTGTATGCCTAAGCTGAGCTTGCAGAGATGCGCATCTTTGCAGGTCTGCTTTTTTTGCACTTGGTCGCCGGCGTGGCTGCTCCTACCAACACGAAGATTTGCTCTTGCTCTGTATGAGTCGGTGAGTTTCCAGTGACACAGCAACCGGTCCGGAGCTTGACATGCCCAACTCGAGGAACACTGCGCTAGTTGTGACTATGGCAAATTCGACCCACGATTGGGTTCACGATTGGGTTTGCCACTCCCTCACCCCCATCATTGCCACGAATCCTGCCTGCTCCTCCTGGTCAGCATCTTGCTTGCTAGGAGATCGAAGGCCATTTAAAGCAGAGCCTGGGAGCTGCAAAGCGACAGAGGACATGCCAGGCATTCTGAGACTCTGAGACTCCGGCGGATCAGGTACCAGCCAAAACCGGCCTTGTGCTCCTCTGCATCGTTCCTTACAAAGCACAGCGTCATTGCTCGACTCCTTCTCTCCTTCTGAGGTGCCAGACTTGACTTGATCCGATTCCTGAGAGCTACAGTATCGTGTGTTTGATGCAGGTCCACTTGGGAAGTATTTGCGACAAAGTGTCTCCATCCTCCAGACACTCGTCAGCTACTCGCCTCCCCTGTCGAATCTGTGCTAGTTGCTCGGCCACCATATCCGATCTGAACGCCCAAGCGCTCTGCTGGAGTTCCTTCGGAGCTGTTCTGCCACCTAAACAAGGACAGTAGGTGGGCTTCTATGCTGGCAACGCCAACTGTCTGTAAGTTCAACGCGGGGAATACGGCGAAGTAGGAGACACCTAAGCTGCACGTGGTTAAACTTAGACAGACACAATGACAGTATACAGCATATGTGCAGCAAGTCAGCAGGACAAGACGATCATTTGCAAAACAATTATCTCAGCTTCTCAGCCCCAAGCAGGCACAAGCTTCGACTGATTTGCCTTCGGGCCCGATGGTTGCAAGCCATGAAAGTTTCATCGGAAACCGGAGCAAGCATTATAGTTTAAGGTCAGAGCTGGTGAAAGCTTTGAGTGCGCCTTAGGCGATCAATCCATCTGAGAATTCTTCTTCTGCACGCTCTCCGAAGGTGCTGTTCCGTCCCGAGGCACTCCAAGAGCGGCCGCCAGTAGAACGCGCCCGCAGTCGGCAGAATGGCCGTGGCCGTTTCTCACCGCCGCTGCGGGCACAGGCCTTGGCACCCGACTTGAAATCTGTCCGGTCGACCCAGGGATCCGAGGCTCGTTAAATCTGACCCGAGTTTTAGCATTTGCTGTTTGAACTGCTGCCTCAGTGTGTGTGTGTGTGCACGTTTTTTCCATTCCCAGTGTTGGGACGTTCCGAGTGAGGCTTCAGCATCCAGGAACCGCTGCTGAGACTCATCCCCTCTTTGCCCTAATCTCCACGACTGCGCACTAATTGGGGCGGTGGGTCTTGGCGAAGAGTCTAAGAGGCCGGCAGTTGTGGCATCGCTCTTCCAATGGCTGCACTCCAAACGAAACCCCAGCCCCCTGCCCCTCAAGGATACATGTACCCCGCTGGAAAGCTCCCTAGAGTCAAAGAGTGTTTTAGTTCTACTGTACTGCAGATTTTCCGGATGGATCATGCAAGTGCAAGATGAAATGCGAAACGTATTGCTTGCAGTACCTCCCAGGGCTGCTCAAGAGTCGCAACTCTCTCTCCTTGGAGAGAGTTTCGAGCCAGCCACCCAAAAAGGTAGGACAGAAGCATGCAACACAAGCCACAACCACGTTTTGAAGGAAGGCCACCGCGGGAGGATTGACCAGACGCACTGCAGCCAGAACCATCCAGCACTTTCTTTCCTTCCTCGTCAACCAAGAGTTGGAGTTCGCGCAGGAGCAGCGAATTCGTTCGACTTCATCTTCTTGCCTTGGCCGTTGCACGAACACATTCTGCTCTGAGACATGCTCAATGATTACATACATTGTTGAAGCCACTCTACTGCACATATCGGATTTCCCTTCGTGCCGCGCTAACCAACAGTGTAGCGGAGGCGATGGCCACAGCAGGGCAGCACGAGCGACAAACTTCAAGGGTCATGTGTACCACATCACCCCGTGTGGAAACCGGATTCCAGCCGTAGGCCCTCGAAAGGTCTCTGAAACTCGCAAAGCACGTGTGGCCAGCGAGGCATCTGATAATCAGGAGTGTTGTACATAGGGTTGTACTCATGAGGTCCTTTATCGGCAACGGCAAGAGGGAAAACACCGGGACCAAACTAAGGCCCGAACCAGAGACATGGACCCTGATTCTGCAAGTGCCTTCAAGAGCTCCGGCACCTACGCGAATCTTCACAGGATGAGAGTCTGTGAGACTGTGAGAGTATGCATTTTTTCGCCAGAGCATTTTTTGGCATTGGGCCACTTGCAATCTCTGCTCTCACGCAGAGGAACACATGATATGATAGCACGAATCACCCACCATGATGCCTTTCCCAAATTGCCACCAGTCTGACAGGCGGTCACCTCGGCAGCGCGGAATGCCGCAATTTTCCCCCTTTTCCCATCCCAGAGCGCTTATCTTGTCCCGAGCTCGCCAGCTCGCTCTGAGTTGCTAAGACTCCGACGGCAGTGGCAAAAGCAACGGAATCCAGGTCGATGGCACCTGGTCTTGAGTGCTGTTTGATCGTGGCTGCACGTCGGCCAGCTCTAGATGCATCTGCGCGGAAAGACTCAAGGGCACCCATGCACGTGCGCGCACACACAGCAATGGACTTTGCGGAGTTTTGAAGTCCTTGCTGCAGGCACCAAGCATCATATTCGGGCCTTTGCCTAAACATGTCACAATCGGATTGCACGTTCAGTACGGTTCCTTGGCACAGGGCTTATTTGTGTCTGTGTGAACGACGAACGGGCGTCGTTACAGCGAAAGATCGTGTATGCAAGCCAGATGCATGCGGACGACCATGGCAATTAGGACGAACGGAAGTCAACCAAGGAGACACGCTGCAACTCATGCGTACCAGAGACTTCGAACCGCATTGATCCTACTCACTCGCCGAACCCACCATGGGCGTTGCATGCTTTGCAGCATGCGACACTTCAAGGTTGGTGCCATCAGCGAGATACAAACAAGCACCGCGACAATGCACTTGCATCGTTGAGCATGAGGTGAGCTACCGTTCTGGGCTGAGTTACCAGAAGGTCTTCATTGCGTCAAGAGTCACAGCTTTATCATGAATGGTTTGCACCTCCCTGCAACCGGCCTTGACGGGCTCCGACGAGAAAGTTCAAGGCTTGCTCCCAGAGAACTCCTGGGAAGCTCCCATGCTGCCTGCATTTTCCCGTGTCGTGAACCGGCCTTGGACGCAAGCCCTGAGAGCAACTCCGAAGGTCAGAACATTGGGCCTGGAAGGTCACCGCTCAATACGTTGATCACAGGGGTCTGCCAATTCTTCTCGCCGAGCGCACCTTTGATTCCCAATCTGCATCGCCACCTTACTTTGCATAGAGCATCATATAGCAATTGCACATGGCATCAGATGGTTGAGCATGAGTCTTTCACGGGATCCCACGTCACAAGCTGGATGTTTGAAGCATTTTAAGGCCATGGCGACAGCTTGCAACGCGTCCTGCCAGTGACCCGCTGCTTCGCATGAGGACGCCACAGCCTAAGCGCCGGTTTTTTGCATGGGAACAGTTTCAAAAACCGAAGCGGGGAGTTATTATTCCAAGACCTGGGTGACGTTTAGAATCGAATAATGAGTCGCAACCCGGGTCTGCAATCAGGGTCTGGACGCAACTTGGTCCTTTAAGGTTCGGGGGAGTGGGGCTTGATGCATGCTTGATATCTTTTCTGCTGTATTTTGTGCGTGCTGCATCTGGTTTGGGTGTTTGTTGTTTGTCTTTCGATCTAGAATGTCGGATGCTGCCCCGGTGTCCTGTAACCCTTTTGCAGCGGGCTTGCCTGGCCGGGTGACACCGGGAGCTCCCTCTAAATCCCCAAACCGAAACCCATCCAGAAACCCTGTTTTTGCATCTGGCTTGCCGCGACTCAACCAGGACAGAAACAAGGGGCACACCCGAGAAAACCTAAACCCCTGAGCCCAGAATAGCCCAGAAACCCTAAACTCAGAAACCCCAAACCCCTAAACCTGCTCTAGAAACCCTAAATGCGAGAGGTTAATACAAGCCCCCCCACCCCCCTCCCTCCCCCCCGAGAATAAATGCCTCCCTACATCCTAAGCACGAAAACCCTAAACGGGGGGCTTGAGTTTCGAAGGGGGGGGGGGTCGTGTTTTGCAGGGGGGGGGGAGGGCGGAGGAGCTGCACGTAAAGTTCGCGTGTCAGCCAGCAAGTCCACCCACGTTCTGAAGCACCCTAAACCCCTTTTATACACAGGCTTGATTGGTGCTCGCTCGGCCGAGTCCCCTCGCAGCACATCACACTCGTGGCGAGATGCGCAAGGCTAAGTCCGCACAGTCCGCATTATCTTACGAGCCAATTTGTCGGATATGCTGTTCAAAGAGCTCACGAACTGATGATCCTGATCCTGAACCTTGAAACCCCGTTCGGACCCGAGTAGCCGCATCTAGGCGTTCGAATATTGTTTCACATTATTCCCCCTCACCCCCTCCACGTCCTTTTGATAACATGCGCTACAAAGATATCCTGCGACAATGATGCCAAGACGTGATGCCTGCCCTAGAATAGTTATACCAGACACTCCCGCATGCATTAGCGCTGGACGTGTGCACGTGTGGCTTGGGGTCAGGAGCTCTACCCAGATTTTGTGCCAAAAGCTTTAGGCCCCGGCGTTGTATGCACACGTGTCAGGCCTGGCAGGTGCGACTCAGAAGCAAACCGACTAAGAAGCAAAGAATCAATTCCCCTCGCTTTGGAGACATGGCTACCGCTTCCGCATCCGTTCCCCCAGCCCATCCCTGCCGACCTCACTCCTGCATGACAGGAGCTGCTTGACAACCCAACTCTTCGCCTACGGTCTCGTGAAAACCATGACCCTTCTTGAGGTGGCATGTGTCCTGCAGCTGCCATTTCTGAGGACAGGCGCAGGGCCTCAGTCGCAGCAAAACTCTACAATCTCTACCAACCTGGCACGATTTATCACAGATTGAGTGCACGGGCGGTTCCCAGCAGCAAGGTTCATCCGTCTGGGGCTTCTGCCCACTTCCACTGCACAGCAGCGGCACAAGCGCTGATGGCCGCCTGACATAGTGCGCAACGCAATGCGACAGATATACTCCTTCTTGTGCAGAGAACTTCTCATGAATTGGCCGCCGACGCTGTATGCAGTCACATCCAAAGCAAGCTGCGAGCATACGGCCTGCAACAATGCACAATGCTCGGCAACCACCTCTTGAAGCGATTCTTTGCGAACTGAGGTTCCAAGAATACGAGGCAAAGCTTCTCCGTGTGCAATCGAAAGCTGTGCACCCCATGTCGGTGAACCATCTTGAACCGGGACTTTCGGCTGGCCTGACGGCTGCTGGAAAGGTATCATCTGTTTAAGTTTTCTTGAACATGGATGAATAAACACCTACCGCCGCCTCCCACCCGCCGTCCTTCCCCTCAGCACCTAGGGCATGTCGAAGCGTGAGACTTTAGCCAACCACAGCATTATCGATTAAGATGTTGAATGTGTCGAGCATCACTGTGCTCCAGATTTTTTGCCGGTTTCATGCTACTACAGTGTGCCATCATGCCGGCATGCTAGCCGCTAGCCTCTTGCAGTATTTGTACATGAAAAGACGAAGCCCGCCTCCTTCAACAAGGTCAGCGCCCAATTCCATTGCAAACCTCGACGGGTGATGTCGATTCTTTCGATGCATCATTCATAACTGGATGTCTTTATCCAGGCAGCGTCGAGTTTTGAACCGTGATTCAGTCGGTGACTCCCTCAAGGATTTAAGTGTGACTACCTGTTGTGCGTGCAGGACAGACACATCATGCCCTTGATTATTGCAAGATGACAGATGCCTCAAAAGCAGCACGGGTCAGACTTGGAGCGCTGCACTTCTCACAAGCACTCAGCATCGCTGCACCTAAGAAGCTTGCGGCTTCGAGGCTGTGCACGGGTGCTGACTCCCTGCGATCCCCGCATGTGATCACATCCAGTTGTAAGCCTGCCGGAAGAGGCCAGGCAAAAGCTTTTCCCGTCAGACAGCGGTAGGCAACAGCTTGAGGCCTCCGTCTTGCATTTCGTGGTACAAAGCCAACGCCTTGGACAAATAAGGCCGGCTTCACTGAAAACCCTAGTTCAAGGATGGATGTTTCTTGCTGGTCACGGCATGGTTGCTCCTGTTTTGCTCAACTCGCCTCTGCCATTGCTTGTGCCGAGCTTTCACTGTTTCGCCGCGACGAAGCTTTGCTCGTGTGGCTATGTGAAGACTGCCTGGACCCGGAGCCTTCAGAGCTCTCGTCAGAGCTCTCATCCTTCACAGGCATACCGTCATCCAAAGCTGCGCGTTGAGCATCGAGACGCTCAAGCCAACGAAACATAAGGCTTCCATAAATTTCAGTTTCCCTAGTATCTTTGGACCCACTCCGCATCACACGGTGCTTAGCCTCTTCCATGTCTCGCCTGGCGGTTGCCGTTACTATCCGGCCATCTCGAGCATCCAAGACCAAAGCCGCTGGAATCGCCTTCACTTTCCAACGATCAGAAAGTTCTTGTAAGCGCTTTGGGGACCAGACAGCTCCGAGCAGGGACCCGATTCGCTTCATGTGCATCTTGTACGTGTCTTCGGATAGGTCACAAGAAACCCAAACGACTTCGATATCTGACGACTCTTCCAGGGACTTCAGTCCGGCGTACACGTCCTTGATAACAGAGTCAAACTCCGTGCAAGCAGGACACCATCGGCCGGAGAAGTACAGAACTATCAATTTCAAAGCACTGGGGATGGCATGCGATGTTCGCACGGTGCTCTGCTTTTCTTCCTTTGCAACTGGCTGGTCGCTGTCGGATTGTGCACTCCCTTCTGTGTTTGCCGCCTTGTCGGCAGCCGCCTGGGCCGCCTGTGCGCGACCACTCAACATCAGCTCTTCTCCAAGGATCTTGCCCCAGTCAATCGCGTCACTTTGCACGTCGTCATCGGCCATGGGCGTTTTCCTCGTTTTCTGAAGCTCTAGATGCCGATACCGCGATACCTGTATCGTCGGGTCATGAAGCTGCTGATTGCTGGCTTCTACAAACATGCTGGAAGAGCAAACAGCTGGAGAGGCTCATATGGCTTGAGACACTGGGTTGGTCTCCGTGGCCCATTTTCTTACATGTGGCAAGTCTTCCTGATATGGTGCGATGGTCTACGGCAGATGAACACACTTCCCGGACCAGCACCGGCTTTCCCTGTCGCTCATTTTGGATTCGCCACATCTTCATTATCGGTACTGGAATGTGGTACGCACTGGCTATCGTGAGCCGATCTCAAGAATTCGATTGACTTGACCAATAAGTCTTTGGTCATGGCACGTGGCGTCCTGAGGCCATGTACAGGCACATCTAGTAAGCCGTGTTTCTGCAGCATCTATACGTGTTGCAAAAGCGATGTCCTCAATTTCAAGGATCGCTCGTTTAGTGCTTCAAGGATAGGGAGGTCTGCGGAATGAGCAGACCTTGAAGAGGTCAAGCTGCTTCGCAAAGCATACAATGGATGCATCTCGTCCACCTTCGCGCTAAAGCAGCACATGCGATATCTACACTATATGAAGCTGATGCAGTTTGAAGGCATGCTGTGCCCAACCTGTTGGACTCTCTTACAGAATTCCTCCGGCGAAAGGTCCTTCAACTCATGGCCTGCACTGGCCAACTTGCAATCTGATTCATTGTCATGAACACCCGTGAATTACACGACTGAGCCGCAGACCAGCTTCACTCAACCATCGGCACAAAGTTCGGGTGGAAATGGCTTCCTGTGCACAAAGATGAATCGGACCAGGTGGCAAGCCTGAGATGAAGCATCTCGTACTGCCAGATTGACACAACACGAATTACCGCAAATGCTAAAGGAGTCTTCATCTTGAGTAAGGCCAAGTATCTGCGCCTGGCCCTTGTTACAACGACCTGCATCCGCCGCGGCTAGACACCCCACTTATCCAGTTTGCTCGATGTGAGCTTTGGCTATATATGATATGTGGCCTGCACGTTGGGGCCTCTTCTTGTGAGAAAACATGAACAGGAATTAGACGACATGCAGAGCATGGGGCAACATACTCCACACAATTCAAGCCAGAAGGCGACAGCATCTGCAACGTAGTCCACTGGAACCAGATTGAATCCCGCTGGCAATGGTGATCGGTCATCAATGCATGTGGAGCCCAACTTGACGAGTCCAAGCAGCAGGAGGCTCACAGCATCTTTTGTGTTGCTCGCGCCAGACCGGGCCCCACAAACCGTGCCAGGTCGCAAGACAACCGCTCGTAGTCCAAATGACTCCGTGGCTCTCCAGACCAATTGTTCAGCCATCCATTTTGACTGGGCATACCCCGATCGTTGATGCAAGTTGGCGGTGGAGATCCTGCTTGTCTCCGGATGGCCATCATCTACAAAGCCCAGCGTAGAAACATGTACCAGCCTTGCCCCTTTCTGCAGTGCCAGCAAGATAGCTTGCTTTGTGCCGGTCACGTTGGAAGTGCACAGGGCGCTGTACGGCAGCACTCCAGAAACTGTTGCTGCACAGTGGACGATAGAGTCGATCATGCCAGGCATCGCATGCTCGGACACACCCAAGCAAGGATTCTCTACGCCCGTGCTAGGCAGAGCAGATATTGTCTCGGGAACGTCCTCAGACAGCTGATAGAAGCTTAAGCACGCTCGCAATCTTTCTGTGGCCTCTTCCTGGCACGTGGCCCGCACCAAGCAATGCACCTTGAAACCGGCGTGGGCCAGCGCGTGAGCAACAAAGGATCCAAGAAAACCGGTACTGCCTGTCAAGAGCACCACGTGACCAGACTGCGGTGTCCTCTGGGCACTGGTTCGGCTTTCCACGCAACTTGCAAGGTCCTCACATCTCGCGGCAGCTTCCTCCTCAAAGTTCACGACCGTGGAACACTTGCCGACAATCGCGCGTGTCGCTCGCGGCCCAGCCAGAATCAGTCGCTCCAGGTCCGCAAGGGTCTCCAACCTAGTGGAAGTATCAGAGACATCTCAAGAAGAGCCACTGAGTGTCAGGATGCAGGACCACAGGACCCCGGGTGAGCAAGGCAAGCGGTCCAAACCCACGTCACAGGGATCGCACTATTGAGCCATATATAAGCAGCCGCTTTACTTTGTTTCTCTGAGTAAGCCCCAGGCATGAAGAGAGTGCGTGCTGGGACCTCATGCCCAAACTTCTGCCACACTTGGGCAGAGAGTCTCGCCACGCCCATGGAGTCCAAGCCAAGCGAGAGGATAGAGTCTCTGGGATCAAACTTCCTTGCTGTGCCGATGCGGAGCACTTCGAAAGCACATATCGAAGTGAACGGCTCAAGGCTTATACTTTGGATTCTCACTCTCTCTCCTCGCTCTTTCGCATAGGCATAGCCGTGCCAGGTCCGCAGGCCCCGAGGGCTTCTAGGTGTTTCGGGCTTTGCCGTTCACGTTGTCTCCCTCGCTCTCTCTGCTGCAGCATCGAAGCAGGCTTTTCGGCAAAGAGACAACTATCCTGCCTTCACCCGTGTCACAAAAGAAGACAGAGACTGCACCCCAAACAACCTTCTGCGTGCGCTTTGCCACTCGACGAACTTCCCCACGACAGATGTTCAGAGATGGCATCGTTATCTTGAAGTACGGAAGGCTCAACATGTCGGAGCATGAGGACGTAAGCGACAAACTTGCACAGAGCTGGAAACATGTCATCAGGCAGCGTGAGTTGCCTTGCACCCTTCCTCCTGATGCAACCACTTCCATGAAGGTCCAAGTCATGAGCTCAGAGAACGATATCGTGAGTTGCGCCCTTCTTCCTGATGCACGCACTTCCATGAAGGTCCAAGTCATGAGCCCAGAGAACGATAGCATTCTGAAGCCGAAAAAGGCAAGCGCCTGGTCCATGTATCACAGGGGCAGCGCAGGCACGTCTCCAGACAGTACAGACCACAGTAAAGAACTGCTTCATCTGTCGTGTATTGCCATGCATTCGTGTCGACATACAAGTTTCCACACTGCGTGTACTGACTTCAGGTGCACGATACACATATTTGAACATGAGGCGCAAGCATGTAGCGGACTAGATGATCTACCTTCCCTGTGGCGAATAGGTTGAAGTAAACACAAAGCCTGACATACATGAACTGGCAGTGCTGCTAGCCCGGGTTGAGGAAACAACACACCGCGTTAACGCCCGGTGGCTGCTTCGGAGAAATATGCTTGAGAATGCGATGTAGCCCAGCGCACACACCAGCCGTTTGTGGAAGTGCTGAGGTGATCTCCAGCCCTGTGCAGTCGCTCTGTTCATCCTTACAGGGCTTCTAAACGACACGGAGACAAGAAGGTTGAATCGATTCATGATTGATCATGATCTGAACGCCACGGGGCGGACAGCAATTTGCCATAACCTCAGCCCGGTTGTCAAACTGCCAACAAATCACTTGAAGTCAATTCGACACCTCGACTAGGCCTCTCAACAGTCTGACATGCACACCCTGCATGCAAGAAGCGGCGAATAAGCGCAGTCCTACTGAGCTTCCCCGAGGCGGTGAGCAAGCCCGCATCTTCCGAGAACGCCATCGGCTCCAGGACAATACGTTGTGGAATTTCCTTCCCACATTCACTGTACTGGGCCGGCTCTTTGAGCTGAAACTGGCTCTTGACTCGACTGGTTTGCGCACAGGCACGAAGCACGAGTTGGGAGATGTTGAGTGGTTCTTGTGCGGACGAGCGGCCCACGCTTTTAGGCTGCATCTGCGGCCAATATCTGCAAGGCTTTGGAGGACCAAAGCTGATGCCTCGTCGTTGGCTGACTCCAGTGCAGCAGCCAGCCTTAAACTTTCGGCTTGCTTGTGCGTCGACTGTGCGGGGACAGCCATGAAGTCCATTTCAGATCTGAGTTGAACTGTAAACTGTCGGCCCGGCGGCGACATGTTTGCTAGCCCGAGCTTCTGCAGCAGTTTCGTGCTGGGCACAGCAACCGCCCCAGTAGCCTGGCATGTTGATGCCCACAATGAGAGTCCGTCAACCAGGTACTGTGCTGTAGTTCCCAGACAAGCGGCCTGCATAAAGCCACATCCCCAGATGAAAATTTGCGAAATCAGAGGGCTCTGCAGCAAGACCCGTTCCTGGAACATCTGGATCCAGCACACGCAGGGCAGGCAAAAGTTGCAAACACAAGCCCCCCAAACGGTCTCTGTAACCACGCATCTAGGAAACAAAGTCAATGCCGTACTTGTACCGTCCTTTTTCCATGGATGGTTTGCGATGACAACTTTAGTTTTGCGCATGGCTTAGTCATAGTCGCATTTCGCTGTCGGTCCATGCTCGCGAAGCAGGAGAGCGACTGTTGGTAGCCTCTGTAGCCAAGTGTCGATTGGCTCCGGCGCCACATAGATGCCCTGGGCGAGCTTGAAGTGGTGCTTGCATCGGTCGATCACACGCACATTGCCAGGTGCAACCTTGCAGCCGAGGGTGAGTCTTCGAGGGTTTGTCTCAGCTCTGCTCGCTGAAATTCCTTCTCTCCCTGCTTGCGTACATGCGGCCAGCTCGCCCACATCGCCAGTGCGAAAGTACATCACGCTGTTGAGCACAATCCAATCCTCTGAGTCGGATTCCATCTGCCGAACCGTACCTTCAAGTTCTGCAACCCAATGGGGATGCCGCATCTATCAAGCTGCACAGCAACAACAGCATTCGAACAGTTGATGGAGGGGAACGAGCTGCCTTGATCAGTGAACCTCTCCAGGCTGAAGTATCCTACACTGTGCTGGCTGCCGTCGCACATGACGATGGATTGACTCTTTAGCTGTCCTGCCATATAGGGCGTCCTGGCTAAAATCTCGCCGCGCGGGGGGCTGTCCGAGGTGAGGTATCCCAATTCAGGCAAATCCAGCAGGCGAATTTCCACGTTCTCTGCCACTGTGCCATTGCTGGCGATCCTGTGTCCAAATGTAGTGCATATCACACATTGCCCAACTCATGAACAGCCAGAAACATCTCAGCCTGCCCGTCTCTGTGCACCCATACCTGGGCACGACACGAACATGAAGCACCACAAACTGAGCGCTAGTCAAAACTTTCTATGATAGCTTTGCATCAAAGAGTCCCGTCCACAACCAGCTTGCCGAAGACCCCTGTTGTATGTGCACCACTATAGGGGAACAAGACGCTTCATCATCGGGCCGTATGACTGTCTGCTGGCATGCGGCTAGTGATAAAGCGCTGCACCTGCGTCAGATTGCATTCAGAAAATGACCGGTGACACGAAGCGACAGACCACATAGTTCTGCTAGTGACTAGTGACCAATGACCTTTGCTATCTTGCTTCCGTATGGCTGGCAGCTGCCAAGGCCAATTGCTAAGCAGGCCGTGCGGTACAGAATGGTACAAATACAAAGCACCCGGGAGAACTTCGCCTACGCCACCGTTCCAGTGTCTGCTGACTTGATTCCCCAACAACGCGTGCAACTCCCGCCGGCGACTCACAGAAGGCATGAGACAAGAGCAGAAAAGTTAAAACCATCGAACACTTACGTAACCTCCGGTACTTTGATTCCGTTCGGATTTTGCTGGCCTGGTTCCTGAACCTTGCAACTGCAAGTAGTAGTTGCGATTTTGGTGAGGCAGTAGTTATACTTGTACAAGTTTGCTGTCCATGCTCATGGAAGGCTGAATGCAAATGGCCGTCGCATGGGCAAAAGTTCGTGGAGGGCGGAAAAAGCCGGGCCTGAGCACCAAATACGCTGCAGCGCATGTAACACGATTCTCGTGCTCTCTTGCGGTGGTTTGTGAAGGAGACTCAGCCTCGTTTGTCAGCCTCTTGGAGTCTGTGACTGTTGGCGCGTTCAGTGTGCAACATGAGTCTCGACATGCTTGTCTCAGTTGGGAGTTCTTATAGCTTTCTCTGCTACCGCTTCAGTTCCTTGACGTGTCCAAGATCTCGAGACGAGCTTCTGCTGCAATGCCCACCCTCGCGCCTGATGCTGCAATGGTGCCCCTGTGGAGATCAACACATCAATGCGGTTGCCCAGCAGGCTCCGTTCCTGATGCTGCTGACCCATGTGCGCTGAAATGGCCCAACGATGTCCGAAGTATCGTGCAGAAGCTACAACGGAAAACATGCCCATCAGGTTTAGGAGCTTGCCATGTCCGCAGCACACTTGCCCGAGCCACAGCTTCATGAACCTTCATTTTCTCGAGCTCCTAGTATACCAGAAGGGTCAGCCGGTGATGAGAAAAGCGCTGACAAACTAGGAAGAGTTGCGGAGGCTGTGAACACCTACGACTCCAGCCCTGGTTATGTTTGCTTGCGTGCCCTCCTCAACAACGTCGTTCTCAAAGTCAGAGTATAAGCCAGTCCAGAATCTAAGCACATGATCGTTATGCTGTGGCGGCTTGCAGCACTTCAAGGCTCAAGCGATGCAGTCATGCAGTCGGGCTGCGTTGGTGCTGCCGCAAAAACAGTCGGGCGAAGTGCCCGGAGATCTTCAAGCATTCGATCCAACGAGCCCGAGAATACACCTGGCTTTCGCCACAGCTGCAGTGTGGCAGGCACAGCTGATCGACTCAGTGCGTCCTAGAGGTGCTGAGACCTTTGCCTATGCGTCCGCCCTGCATGAGCACGTCGTGGCTTTGACGGATAGCTTCATAAGCGTATGTGACGATATCCACAGACCTGGGATCAAACCGAATGTAGCGCTGCCAACACCTGCCTGCAGGCGTGGGAGCCATGAGTCTTCGACGGTTTCCCAAGTCGGCCTGGTAACGACTCCGGGGTTCGCCCGCAACTGCCCTTGAACAGTGCCTCTTCCGTCACCACGGCCAGTTTTGGGGCTCCAGTGCTGCCACTGGATGGCAGCAGCTTGGCGAGACGCTTCGGATCCCTCCAGGAGGGTACTCTCAAAGCTTTAGTTCCCTCTTGCAGTGCCTCGAGAAAACCTTTTTGCTGCCAGCTTGGTGGACTGCTGTCTGTTCCTTTGGTCACCGGGCGCGAGGACTGCTGCAAACAGTACGGTTCAGACGAGTCCTCGATCCATATTACCATTTGAAGCTGCGAAGCAGATGCACGACTTGAAGCGCGCTGGATCACCGGCAGGAGGTGCTTGGAGGTTATCAGAAGGCATAGACCAGTTTTGTCGAGAATCTGTGCCAATGCTGCGTCATCTGTTGCACGGTGCATCGTCACCAACGGGATAGCCGCCAGAGAGCACGCAAAGTCGACAATGAACCACGGAATGCTAACCGCCGACAGCAAGCCGATGACTGGGATGCCTTTTGTTGCCGACACCTTTCGCAACAGCTGCTGTAAGCCATCTGCAAAATGAGCAGACATAGATCCAATTTCCTCGTATGAGTGCCAAGTGTAAGATTCGCCAGTGCGCCAGCCCAGACAACGCCGACTGGAGTAAAGATGAAAAGATGTCACCAACGCTTCTGCAGCACAGTTGGCTGCCGCCAGTTGTGAAGTGCGGACTACCAAAGGCTCAACTTCGTCATGAAGCACGTGCTCATGGGAAGCTTGGCCCTTCAAAGCACAGTGTTGACAGCACAGCAAATCGCAACATCCACAAAGTTTATACAGCTCTTTTGGCAGGATGACCCTCGTGCAACTACTACAGCTTCGTAACTTCCTGACCCTTCGAAAGTGAAAGATCAGCTGGCGCAGGCCAACCCGGTGAATCGCTTTGCCCCACTGCCAGCATGCCAACAGATTTGGCACGAGCAAGAGACCCAAGAACCCCGTCAGAAGAACACACCAGCAAGTTGTCCGGCATCCAGAGGCCACCATGGTGTCGCTTTTGGAACTTACAGGCATGGTTGCTTCCTAACCGGAGGCCAGCTTTCCATGAACCGGGCTAGCGGCTAGACGAGACCAGCGCAACGACTCGACTCGAGGCAGGAGCAGCAGCAGCAGCAGCAAAACACCATGCAGAACTTCTGGAACGGCGGCTGTTGGGCGCACGGCCGACTTCCAAGCTTTGCCTTTCTCACACGCACTGATAGCGCTGCTGTACCTGTCAGCTCGCAGAACGAGAACCCGTCTAAGGAGTCATCTGACAAGAGCGGCAAGACCTACCACAGGGCCGGACAGGATTCGGTCAGGCACAATCGTTTGTGCAAAAGCCTGTAGATCAGGATCTGCAGCGGTTGGCATTAGCAAGATAACTACGTGTGTCATGCTCAATTCGTGCATGACACAGCAGGTTCCTGCATGCACGAGTCTTGAATTCACTGCAGGCCTCTGCCAACAAGCCAAGAGCTTCTTCCCATCGCCGTGCCTGGTGGTGAAAGGCAACAGTTGGGGCATCCATGCACCTAACGCTCTGTCCAGTTGCCGGTTCGCCTTCTCGCATGCGGCAACGGCAGTGGCAATCACGAATTTGTCGGGAGCGACAGTCCTTCGGGCCGAGCAGTGCGAGTTCGATGCCGGGCAGGTCACAAGCACCGGTGCCTTTTCTGCATGTGCTTGACCAGTTGCAACGATCGCACCTCAACGTGAAGCCATCTGCTACATGCTAGCACACCCATACCTTGTCTGTTAACGATCCGATGCCACTGAGCTTTTGTACGTTGGCCTGCCCCGTTTCTGCAAGATCCTCGGGCAGCTTTTGGCCCGTTTTGGTGAAACACTGCATAATTACATGCGATTCGTGATCGATCTACACGATGTGCATAAGGTGAGTCAAACACAACACAATGTCAGGACACTGGCAAGATCTAATGCTGTGAGCCACCTGCAACGTTCCCCCGGTTCGGGCAGAGCGTAGCCAATGCCGGCACGAATCAACATCAATGATACAGCTCACGATTTGACATGGCTACTTCGTGCCGAGCCGGAGATCATCTGCTAGATCGTTGCTTGCGTCTCTCGCGAGCTTGTTCTCGATGATACTCACGTAGCTTCTGGTAGCCTTGCAAGCTCAGGCTGTTGATTATGCCCAGGTTTCACTTATCTCTCTGGACCTTTGACCTGTTGGATCCGAGCACAAGGGCAAAGTAAGAACCTGTGCCTGTGGCCTCTGCGACTTTGCTGATCTTTATTGTGTCATGGCGACTGGTTCGAAGGCCCTGGTACGCGCAAGCACGACAGTAGTTTAGCCTAAGCCCCTGCGTGCCGATTTGCCCGCTTCCGACATGGACGCTTCATTGGCCAATGACCAGTGCTTCATCGCTTCTGGCGACACCTCAGGTCTCTCTACTGTTGCCATCTACCAATACTCTTCCTGATTCGGGCATGAACAAGTGCGCACAACACATGTTGGCACGACGGCAAAGACCAAATGGCTCAAGTTCTTGCCAAGATTCATTGCGAGTCGATGAACCAAACCTTTGCTGTTTCGCGCCAGTTCTAGCTGACCATTCTAGCCAATGTTCCGGTTTCCCTTTCACGATGCGGTGCCACCACCCCTTCATCCGGGATCCGAGAACAACACTTAGAAGAATTGCTAGCCAGGGGCTGTTGAAAGACGGCATCCGCAGCTGCATGCAAGTGTTGCTTGACCTGACCAGCAGTCAACGTTTAAGTTTAGACCATCCCTCGAGCTTGAGAGTGCAAGAGCCTCCCAGGACGTCATCGGGGAATCAGAGAAGCGGTGCTGACCAAGAAGGGCGGCTGCCGCGGCTGTCTGCCTGGTGCGACAATGCAGGGCGAATCCCGTGACTGCTTCCGCAATGCCACCTTGAAGTCTCCTGGCTTGGCCCAAAGATGCGAGGGAAGGCTTGCGCATTGCGCGGGGAGCCTGGCGCACCTGCGAGCTCCGCATTTCGTGTCCGCTTGGCGACAGCTCTGACACTGCTGCGTGCTGGAAAAATACTGCTGCGAGTAAACTAAGCCGTCGACTTTCCCACCTTCGTTGGAAAGTCCTATCTTCTGATTCGACAGCATGGCCCACATTGCATCTGTCGGAAGCGCTAGCGGGACGCCGTGGTGTAGGTGCCGTTTGTTCCTGAGTGCTCTGCAGGTCATCCCAACAACAAGCGGTCCTCCCAACATCGCAAATCAATTACGGCAGGCAAGCCGCAGACAGTCTGGTCAACGACTCTTGCAGTTTTCGAATCTTGTTGTGAAGTGACCAGGAAGTCAAGCACCTCCATGCCGTGCATCTCGTTTGACGACCTCACTAGCCACATTTTTGTTAAAGCAGGCCCCAGCATTACAGGTGCAGCAGCTGTATGGCATCTTCGCCAAGCGGCGCCAAAGCAGGCTGACGTTCCAAGCAGTCGCTTTCCTCAGCTACAGTTGCAGAGCATGCCGGGTACCGGCTCATGCTATAGCTGGACTAGCATCATGGCCTCTTGCTGCATCTAAATCGAAAGAGAGACAGTGCATGATTCCAGCGGCCCCTCATATCTGCTGTGTTTCATCGTTTTTCGCTCCGATCCGTGAGTTCAACTATTTGTTGTCGACCTGCGCCGATACAGAAACACACAAAGACTGTGTCCAAATTCATGTCTTGCTTTGCCTCAGCTTGCTCACGGAAAGGGATTGGCATTTGGCTTCAGGTGCACACCGGCTCCGTGGAGGGCAAAACATGATTCTTGCATTCTCAAAACCTGGCTGTCGCCCCTTCCTGTTGTGATTAGTCCACTTGTTTCCTTCCTTCCCACGGTCTTGATGCACAGTTGCACCACCTGTCTCGCCATGGCATAGTCTAGCAGAACTTCCTTTGTCCGTATCAACCTACTCTCCCCGAGTCCGTGAGGAAAACCTGCCACACAACTCTCCTATCTGTTACTCCAACTTACATCATGTGCGGCAGAGTGTAGCGTGTAGTCTCACGTCGTCTTGCTGCTTGACCTCCTCACGAACCCGACGAAATCCGGAATGCTCGGAGGCGTGCGAACGAAAGTCGTTGCAACTGATACAGTGCTGTCATCTTCGTACTCCCTGCTGGATAAGGATGGGATTTCAATTCTTATGGCATGTCTCCCCCTGTTGCATCCAAGTTCTGCGGCGCTCTGCTGCACACAAATAAACACGTGCGAGACTGACATAAAGTTTATGTTCGGGACAGAAGCTGGGCCCCTTCGCGGCTCCGTCGGAAGGAAGCAGACATGCATGCACCAGCCATCCAGCGCGCAAGCGCAGCCTGCGATTAAGTTAAAATGCTGATTTCAAGGCACGGCGTGGAGTAAGACTTCCTGCCAAAACATGCCTTGAGGAGGTCCTGGTGAGTTCCTTCACAACATCTGCCTGGGGGCTCTTTTGGAGGTCAGTATGTAACTTGTGGCAGGAAGGCAGGAGCTCAGCTCGCGTCGGCTCAGAGTTTGGATCATCCGCTGTCGTAGCGCACCCTCTTGATGCACGGCCAGCTCCTCAAAGAGAACTGTAGACCACTCTGATACTGCGCCGACTATTCACACTGAAGCCGCGCTAGCCGCTAGCCTTCAGCTCTTTCATGCGGTTCCCGGGGATATTTCTGCTGAAGCTAAGGGGCGGCTGCAGCAGCTCGCTCTTGCCATCTACATCGATGCGACCTGGCCCAGCAATGGCTGTTTGTTCTCACACGACCTGTCAATCTGACGGCGGCCTCAAGGTCAGAAGCTGCCAGCGACCAAGGATCTTCCACATGCCTGGTGAATTCTGCTTGTGAACGGTGTTGGTGACCTGCAGGTGTTCTCCAAGTAAGGTGGCGCATCCAACAAGCGCCAAGAGCATCCCCGCCAATCTCAGCTAAGGCACCACATGTTGCACTGCAGTTTTGATGCGCTGTTCTTGAGCAAAGACAGCCAGCGCAGCTGCATTGCTTTTGGCCCCAAGAAGACGTTCCCGTCTAGAATTGCTGGATGATTGACGCCAGTGCAGGAAGCAGGACTGCAGCACGCATGCCTCAGGAGGCCGGATGAGTCCAGCCGTGGTGCCAAATCTACTATAGTAGTACGTAGCCCTCTTTGCCGAGACACCCTGGCCGCATGAAGCCTGCACGAATGCTCGTGCTCGACCATCAACCTCTTGGAAGCTCTCAGCTTTGTCAGCTTGCCCCAATGGTTGAAGCAGACCTTGGAAAATGATCGAACATGCAGTCTGTAGGCGTCTGTAAAACCTGCTTGGCATCCTCACCTTTTTGTTAAACCCAGCAACGTACAACCACGGTGCCTTCACGAATGCCTGCCCAAACAAAAAGGGTGCAATGGTGAGCCTAGAAATTGAAGCTCGAGCTGGAACGGGAACGCCCGAAGGCCCCTGCCTCTGGCCCTCGTCGGAGCTTCTTGGCTGCCATAGAGCGTGCTCGGGCTGCCTGCTCGCGGAGTAGCATAGAAGTCTCCAAGCTCTCCTGTCGGAGAAAAGCCTCCTGCACAGACCAGGCGCGAGGCTTCATGTTACCCTGGCCGTGGCCCCTTGAACTCAATGGTTCCGACAATAGTCCTCCGCGGCAGTGGCCGCATGTGCTTGCACTTGCTGTTGACCTCCGAGAATCGTAGCTTACATGAAAAGGCACAGTGAAAACCAACTGCCCGAAACTGCTCCAGCCGAGTATCAATAGAAGAGGCGCTGGTGGCAGTGCCGCAATTTCTTCCATAACTGGCTGCCGTTGATTGCACTTCTGAAAGCACTGAATGCATCCTTCAAAGCCATCACTCGCATCAAGCCACGACCAAGTGCCACGACATGCTGATCAAGTGCAGCTTGCAATCGCTCCATGTGAGGATGATTAAAACCCATCAGCGCCAAGAACAGGCTCTGTACACGATCTGTGAAATCTTCAAGAAGGTGGGAAACCATATCGCATGTCTCGGGGTTCTCGTTTGCCGAAGGCTTGTTTACACATGGAGCACAAGGTGGTGGCGGTGGGGACGAAGCACGAGGCAGCGGCC